ATTTTAAATTATAGTCAATTGCATGCTCTTCTGGAATGTTGTAAGTGTAAATGACTTTTATGGAATATTAGCTATAAAAAATAAATGTTTATAGCATTATAATCTCAAGCCATATTAACTATTCATTTAATTATAACTTATACTTTTTGCAAAAATGGTGAATGCGCCGGGATCAAACTATAGTACATTCATTTTTACCAAATCACAATTGGTCAATCTGTGATAAAAAGGCGTGGCTTCCAAATATTTTGTTTATTTATTTAGGTGAGTTGGAAAAATGAATTAAATATTGTATAATATAGTACCTATAGTATAAACTTAAAAAGCGCAATTCTTCTTAAATATACAATTTTTTGTGTGTGCTATAGAGAAGCATTTTCACTTAATATAATTATTTCCCAAAGGAAATTTAATTTGATTATGATGTGAAAATTTAACAGAAAGAAATATCAAAGTAAAAATTTACATTTAAAATTTTAGTATAATGCATTATTCTTTGCCTATAATTAATTTAAATATTTAAATATAGTATGCGTATGACACAAATGCCATGTTTTTTCTAAAATACCACACACCACAAACGAAACAATATTTATCATCGAAAATATCCAATTTTAAATTCAAATTAAATTTATATTTATTGACAAACAAAATCAAATTTTGCGCAACAAGTAAAAAACCAACTACGAAAAACAAGTTTTTTAAAGCCCTATTGTTCCATTTTTTCACTAGAAATTTATATTTACATGAAAATGTGTTATTTAAGATTGTTGAATTTCGTTTATCTTGCTTTGGTTTTGCATATCTTTAAGAACATAAAAGAGAATACAATACAGTCTGTAATTTTTTTTATTCCCAAGTAAAATAGGGTTTTTATTTTTAAATGCGTTTGTTGCTTACAATGGGTTGAAAGTGTTAAATAAGAGACATAACGTAATTGATCATTGTTTCCTGTTTTTAAAAATAAAAGTGTCGGTTTAAACCTCAGATTAAAGTTTATTTAAAGGAAATTAAATATAAAAATTTTTGTAGTGTGCAAACATTAAATAATTGGATTGTCATTGCCCTGTTTTTAAACTTAAATAAATTCTTCGAAATCTGTTTATATTTTATGTTATAATTCTTAAAATAATTACATTTATTTAATTAATTAATTATATTTTTTTTGAAGGAAGGTACGTTTTTATCGATTTTGTTTAATTAATTTAAAATAATTTGAACTTCACATTTATCACAGACCTTGCATGTTTCAAGTTGCAAAAAGCAATCTACCACTAAAGCATTACTCACCAGTAAAAATACTCAGTACTAATAATGAAAGTGCAGATAGATTCTTAACGGAAACAATAAATTTTTAAATAACCCAATTGCATTCAAAGAAATTTTCAAATAATTCCACATATGTAATTGGATAAATTTCTTTTTACGTAATTGAAAATCTAGATTGTAAAGAATTTTAGGTTTTTAATTTTTCTTAATAAGTATTTAATTTAATTAATATTTTTATTATAATAGTATTACTTTTCTACCACATATATACACTAGGGTGGGTCAAAAAAATCGACTATTTTTATTTTGACTTCTGCCACTGAAAAATCGGTTTCTAGGTACCTTCAAAACATGCTTAGCAACGATAAGCTCTTAACTTTGATGGGAAGATCCGCCTCATTACAGTTTTGCATATTTTTCTTAGTCTCCTACAAAAAAATTCATATCTCATCATTCGTTTATCATACAGCAAAACTCTAAAGGAGTTATTTGTAGAAAATTAAATGTTCTACAAAAAAGATCTCTTATACTTTTTTGATTAATCTAACTATTAAAGAGATGTTCAAGGTCAAAGATTGAAGAATTTTAAGAAAGATAACTTAGCTTTTCTGAATTTTGTAACTTACTGAAAAAAAATTATCGACAATTGAGATTTTACTTTGTCTATCGGAAATTGAACGCTCTACAAAAAAGGTCTCTTAGGATTTATCGATTACTCTAACCAATCAAAAGATATTCGCATTGGAATGTCAGTGCATACTGCTTTTCATATGCAAATATCTTTTGATTGGTTAGAGTAATCGATAAATCCTAAGAGACCTTTTTTGTAGAGCGTTCAATTTCCGATAGACATAGTAAAATCTCAATTGTCGATAATTTTTTATCAGTAAGTTACAAAATTCAGAAAAGCAAAGTTATCTTTCTTAAAATTCTTCAATCTTTGACCTTGAATATCTCTTTAATAGTTAGATTGATCAAAAAAGTATAGGAGATCTTTTTTGTAGATCATTTAATTTTCTACAAATAACTCTTTTAGAGTTTTGCTGTATGATTAACGAATGATGAGATATGAATTTTTTTGTAGGGGACTAAGAAAAATATGCAAAACTGTAATGAGGCAGATCTTCCCATCAAAGTTAAGAGCTCATCGTTGCTAAGCATGTTTTGAAGGTGCCCAGAAACCGATTTTTCAGTGGCAGAAGTCAAAATAAAAATAGTCGATTTTTTTGACTCACCCTAATATACACTGCTCAACAATTAAAGTGGATATTAGAAGAATTTTAAAATTATCAGCGTAAATATTTAAAATAAATGTCAATTATAATAATAAAAAAAATTAAAATTACATTAATTTAATTTAAAGAAATGTGTAATTAAAATATAAGATTGTATTGCTGGTATTCACGTATTCAACACACTAATTGCTTCTAATCCTTCTAACGGCATAACTTTAATTCAAATGAACTGATTGATTGATTGATTGATTGTTAATTAATTGCTAATATAGGCGGTACAAGAACTTCTGCTTCACTAAAAGGTTGTAATGTAACCACACTTCTATATGTTTGTGTTAAAGAAGTAACCACAAATAATTAAACAAAAAATGCAAAAATGTGTTCATACAGAGTGGGATCGACTTAACAATATTACATTTAAATTTCGAGATAATTATAATTATACAGTTCAATTGTTGTGCAGTGTATATTATTCCATTGGCATTTTGATGTATAAAAGCACTTAATAAATACTATAAAATTGTTCTAAAAAAAGCGGTTAAAAGATTATAAGTCGATCTTTCGTAAAAATGTCAATGTGTTATATGTATGCTCGTTTAAAGGAGTATAAAAGTATCGTAACTTTTATATTATATTAATAATACTTTTATAAAAGTATTATCATTTTAAAAACCCTTTTACCTTTTTAAAACTTTTTGCATTTCTTATTTAGTTATAAATGTATCAAGATGTATAATCCCTAAAGAAATTTAACGAGATAAAGTAAAAAATTTCGATCGCATATTCACGTTTTCTACATAGTTAAATTGGCATCAAAAAGTTTTTAAGATTTCGTATGAAATATTTTTAGTCGAGGAAATAAATATTTCCACCTAAATCTTCAAGCTTCAACAGCTTAGAATTTTTGTTATACAGGGTGTTACCAAATAAATTGTCATCCTTTGGGGGGATGATAGTACACACCAAAACAAGAAAGTTTTTCCTCTTTTTTGCATTAGTATTTTTTTAGTATTTAAATAAAGGTACTTCTGCTGAAGATCTTAATTAAATACTCTGACACTGTTAAATTGACTAAAATTATATAATAATTCTTCTTCTCTTAATAACTATGCCAAAAATAATGTCAGATTCTAAAGTAAAAGAACTTTTAAGGGCAAAACTTATGGACATTTTTAAAGTAAAAAAGTAACGTTTTTGGTTTTATAAATCACATTATTTTTAGCTAAGCAGATCAAAAATTTTTGAAATTTTAAAAAATAAATAAAAATTATTTGCTGGTAGGTTCAATCTTTTTGTGAAAAATCTAGTAGTTAATTTTCCTGTCTTTAAAAATAGCATCAATTTGGCTTTAAAAAGATAAGCAATACCTAATCAAGAAACTTTTTCTTTTTTCAATTTGCAAGTTACTGGCCTTAACAAAATACCCATTCACCCTTGGAGTACAGTGATTGGACAACATTCACGTGTGTTCACATAAAATTTTAATATCTTTTATATAAATTATTTTCAAAGTGAAGAATAATTATCCGCTAAGAAAACTTTGTCTCTCCTAGGTCGTAGTCACCTATATTTAACTACTTTTTTATATATTTGTAATCTAGGCACCACCAAAGCCAAATTAATTGAATTTTTAACTACAAATTTTGACAACTCAACTTAAATTTTTTTTAAATATTATTTAGCTACAATATATACATTAAATAAGTAACCAAAGGACTTAAAGCTTCTAAATGAAGTACAATTTAAAAGGAGGTGCAAATCAATGTTATTGCTTAGCCATTTGTAATTGATGCGTTTTGTTGTGTTTGCTATTGTTGCGTTTGTAGTTTTGTGAAAAATATGGAACAGGCTTTTTTGATATTAATGTATCTAAAAAACATATGGTCATGTAAAGTGGTTTATGATTGGTTAGGTTAGTGGCCTAGGTTAAGTTAGGTTAGGTTAGGTTAGGTTGAATTAGGATTAGTTTTAAATGGTTGAACTGGTAACTAATTTTGTATTTTTTTTATTGTACTAGATAAACATGGTGGTGGTACCTAATGTTGGTTTTGTAAACAGAGGTTATTAATCTTTGGTAAACAGTTGCAAATAAAATTATTATTATTATTATTATTAACTCAACTTGACAATCATCGAATATAACCTACAATAATTTAGACATAACCACAATTACATTATAATAACATTAATAATTAGGGGGGCTACATGAACAGTTTAGTGCACCAGAGCTAAGTTGACACATTAGAACAACTCCGCGAACTTGTCAATGCAGCGGCAGATGAAATTCGAAATCATCCGGATATGATAGCAAGAGCGACTCTCAATTTTGTGTGGAACACTTAAAAAATAGCAAAATGAGTATCAATCGACGTAAAAAGTAAACAATCAGTGGCGGCCCAAAATTTCTAGTTTGCTTATAAAAATTATAATGACTTTTTTATGAAAAAATATTCTGTGGTTAGTCTACCATTAATAACCCTTCACATTTTATTTCAGATGACAAAGAAAAAAATCAACCGAAAAATGGAAGTGGGCTGATACTAAAATGCGACTTAAAGCTGTCGTCCACAAAAATGAGTAACAACACCACGGACTTGACAGCGAACTTCGAGTACCAACAGAAAGACCTGAACTGGCACTACGCGGTATGCGAAATATTGGTGGCCCTGTTCGCCGTCACCGGCAACGCGCTCGTGATCTTTGTGTTCCGCAAGGAGCGGCGACTGAGGCGGCGGACGAACTACTACATCGTGTCATTGGCGTGCGCGGACTTTTTGGTGGGCTCGCTGGGCATCCCGTTCGCGATTTTATCCTCGATAGGGCTGCCCCACAATCTGCACGCCTGCTTGTTCACAGTGTCGTTGTTGGTGGTTTGCTGCACGATTTCCATTTTCTGCCTGGTTGCCGTTTCCGTGGACCGCTACTGGGCCATTTTGTACCCCATGGGCTATTCACGGAATGTTAGGACCAAGACTGCACTTGGTAAGTAAGATACCTAACAAAAATTGAAATGTCTTTTAAATCGAGTGTTAAGAACACCTTCCTAAAAACATATCTACTAATATTGCCTGTTGGGCAAATAAATATTGTAACGAGTACCGCTTTGAATCTGGGAATGATGACTTATCGCCGATGAATCGATCGAGAGCGGTGTGGAGCTCGGAATGTTCTAGAAGGCGCTTGCGTGACTAGTGTCACGAAGGCACTGAATATATAAGGAACAGCGCATCATGGAGCAGTCAGTCAAGCTTTGGTACTCGCGACGAAATAAATTAAATATATTTTAAATTTTATATGTGTACATAAATAGACAATTGTACAGTAGTGAAATATAAATAATTATTAGTTAAGTGTTTAGTTGGTTTTATAGTTTCTTAGTATTTTAAGTGTAATTAAGCTATAAAATGAATAGTTTAGTTCGTTAATAAAGCAGTGAGTGAACACTCACTGCTTTATTAACGAACTAAAACATTTTAATTCACGAACAGTAAAAACGTTACAATATTATTATTATTATTATTATTATTATTATTATTATTATTATTATTATTATTATTATTATTATTATTATTATATAAAATAATTATTCTATATACAGCTTAACCAATTAATTGTTCTTATAAAAATAACAAAGAACAATGTAGAGAAAAATGCAACAGCTTCAGTTTAACAACGATTTGAGAAAAATTCAGCCATCAAAAGATTTTAGAAATTCTTTGTGAACTGACTAGGGTTGAGACAGTTGAAATTTTCAAATGAAAATTTCAACTTTGAAAGTTTCAAACTTGAAATATTTCATTTAGTTGGAAAAGTGAAATTTTTTAAAATTTCAAATGAAATTTTCAATCCGAAAATTTCAACATTGCCTGTAAAAGTTTTAGAAATTTCATTGAAAGTTTCGCAATTTACTGAAAATTTCGCATAAATTTCACATGCGGCCTCCCCTGGGACCTTTAATAATAATTTACAACATATTACGAATCGACAAATAAGAACAAGTTATCAAGCGTCTGAGCGTTTTTGTTTAGTTCGGCTTGGATTTGAATACACTATAAGTAATTATTGTTACTTATATGCATAAATTAATTTAAATAATTTAATTCAGTTACCAATTTAATTTGTAAATTAAATCAGACTTTAAAATTTTTTTAAAAGTCATGATTAATTTAAACTTTTACTTGTATTTGCTATAATTGCATCGGAAAACGGATAAAAATGCCTTTGGCTCATAAAATTTTGATGAAGTTTCTTCAATTTTCGTAAAATTTCAGTAAAATATTTAAAAATAATAAATATAAAACAATAAAAGTGGCACAATCTCATTAGCTTACCAAAAAGTGCTATATCTCTTTTAGTTTTAGTAATTTTAAAAATATTTTAAAAGGAAATTTCAAGAAATTTGTGGTAAACATAGGTATTTACTATTTATATTATTGCTGCAGGGGCCCACAGAGGGGTAGGAGGTAAGAGAGGCAATTTGCCATGGTCCCCGAGTGGGCTTATTTCAATATTAATATATTACACTTAAAGTGATTGAAACTTTCAATAAATTTCATAAATTTTATGAAATTTCAGAAATTTAGGAAATTTTAATAAATTTCATAAATGTCATGAAAATTTCAAGTGAAATTTCAAGTACAAGCAAAAAGTAAAATTTTCCCAACCCTAGAACTGACCAAAGTCCCAGCCCGCATCCATGAAACGTAACTGTTTCAAGTGATTTATAATTATGTGGATTTTTAGCATTTGGAAATACCCAGTTGTTTAATTATGTTCCCCAAATACCATATATCTCTCTTTAGTTCTTCATAACAAACAATATTATTAGCGTAAGAGAAACATTTGATGATAGAAGATCGTTTCAATTTTGCAAGCATTGAATTCAAAAATCGCATCCTGTAAATTTTTGGAAACAAGGGTTAATTTTTTAAGCCAATCTAAAGCAGTTTCTCGTCCAAGAAGCTTTCCTAAACAAATGCTTGATAAAGCCTTGGAGCAGATAAAGCTCGGGAATTAAACATTCATCTGCATTTCTTACATCATCAAATTCAGTGAACTAATTAACATCATTATTAAACATTGTTTTCAAATTCAACTGATTTTCTCTTAAAGTTCTGAAAGTTATTATTACCAGATCTTAATTCTTGTAAAAATATAAAGCAATATGGACAGAGGAAAGATGCGGTTGCAGTTTGCAAGCCCAATTTAAAAGAGATATTATTAAGATTAGTTAAGCTGAACAGTAATGCAATATTCTGGTATATTTCTTTTATATTAGAAAGAAAACACAAGATAATTACCTTCTTAACACCTGTTAGCTTAGTCTTCTTTGATATGCTTCCACCTTCTTTATGAGGGACCTAACTTTATTAAAACATGGGAACATTGAACACTGTTAAAAGTAATCAAATTTACTTACTACAATATGTCGCAGCGTTTAATGCATTCAATAAAATTGAGGGCAAATGTTTCTCTTCTGCTAATAGGGTCAGAATTTTTCAAACGGGCCACCTGAATTAGGTCAAAATTAGTTTTTGTTTGTAGATACATTTTTTTGATAGTATTTTACATCACTAACACAAATCCTAAAGGATTTTGTAAAAAAAAAATTTTCAATTGACATATTCATGATATTAAAAGTCAAAGTTTTTAATAATTAAAAAATAAAAAAATTCATTATGGCTGAACTAGTTATCCGATTCTAACGATATAACTAGCGTTGGAATCTTGTTTTGACATAGATTCTTTGTTATTTTTTTCAATTGTCCTATTTTCATTTAGGTCGATTTTTTTTTGTTTTTTTTATACCAAATTCGGAAATAATTGCCTTCTGCGCCAGCTATCGACTCGAGAAAAAAAACACATATACTCCAATCATTTCTCGAAATTATTCTGCTGAGAAAAAAAATGGCCCGCAGGTTGACAAAAAGTTATTCGTCCTTTTGTGGCCGCGCGCGGTGTCAGCTCACGCTCCGAACCGTGTACGCTGTACGCGCTTGTGACGCGACGTCTTACGGTGGTCTGGAACCTGCGGGCCATTTTTTTTTCTCAGCAGCATAATTTCGAAAAATGATTGGAGTATATGTGTTTTTTTTTTTCGAGTCGATAGCTGGCGCAGAAGCCAATTATTTCCGAATTTGTTATAAAAAAAACAAAAAAAAATCGACCTAAATGAAAATTGTACAATTGAAAAAAATAACAAAGAATCTATGTCAAAACAAGATTCCAACGCTAGTTAAATCGTTGGAATCGGATAATTAGTTTAGCCATAATGATTTTTTTTTATTTTTTAATTACTAAAAACTTTTACTTTTAATATCATGAATATGTCAATTGAAAATTTTTTTTTTACAAAATCCTTTAGGATTTGTGTTAGTGATGTAAAATACTATCGAAAAAATGTATCTACAATCAAAAACTAATTTTGACCTAATTCAGGTGGCCCGTTTGAGAAATTCTGACCCAATAATAATGTTGGTTATGCAAAACTAGAGAAAGCTATAGGGCACTAGAGAAACATAAACAAACAATTGGGTATTTTTCAAACGCTAAAAATACAAAATTCCAATTAACTTACATGTTGCGTTTCTTGGTCGGAGCCAAAGTGAAGCATTTTTCTTGACATTTTTTTGTTATTTCTACAGGAAAATGAATTGGTTAAGCTGTATATAGAATAATTATTTTATATTAATAAATTGTAATGAAATGTTACTATTTAGCCCGATATTTATAGTTAAGAATTATGATGTTTTTTGGTACTGATTAGTAAAACATAATAACACTGAATTTTCATATACATATAGCCTTTCTCTAAAATTTACAAAAACACACAAAAAACGCAGGAAGAAGCAGGTACAATTTTAATATTAGTGGATATGTTTTTAGGAACCTTCAGTAACACCGTGTTTTAAAATGTTAGTTGTTTACTTACATAATTTTTTAAATTAATCCCAAAACAATATCTTATAGTATATAATATAAACAATTATATTGACAAAACATTCCCCTGAATTATATTATAATTTGACGTTTGCAAAATAAATTAGGACATACGTTTTCCAGGGCATATCTCTTAAATTTCTTGTTATGTTCACTTTTAATGTATTCTCGTAACATTTTGTAAAACGCACAGTTAGTGTGAAATGGTAAAAAAAATAATCTTTAATTAACAAAAAAAAATTAGGGTCGTTTCATATCAAATCAATAAAAAAAGGTAACTTTTGTTTTCATCTCCGTTTTTGAGTATTTTTGGTAAAGTTGTTCTACCTCCTAAAAAAGTTGAAATTTTTTTTTGTAATTTTTCTTCTATGGATTTTTAAAAATAAATAAATTTACCAATTTTGCCTCTGCAGGCTCTTAAAACAACAGATGCAGAGTCCACTAATCAGTTTATTGCTGCGTAGGTAGCTTATTTAATGTTTGATGTTGTTTGTCGTATGTTGTGTAGATTGTGAATAAAAATACGGCGAGTAATATGAGTTGACTTTTAATTCACAACTGGGCTTTGATAGCTATTGGTAACTGTTGTTTATTTGTAAAATTCGTTAAGAAAAACGTGATGGACATTCAAGAAGATATCAAAGAAAATAATAGATGATTTCGATGATAAAAACGTGTCTCTAAAACAAGTATTGAAATTATTACAATAAACTTATTGTTAATAAAGTTATTATAGGAATTTTTAGTAGAGAAAATCGTAGTAATTTTTTAATTTTCCCGCCGCAATTGTTTTCTTGATAATTAATAACATTGAACACGTTTGACGCTTTATAATTGTGAAACTACAAGACACAAAAATAAATCTTCCCAAAAGTTCTCTATTACGTAAGACGATTCTCATTTCAAGAGTTGTGCTCTGTATGGAAAATATAACTATGACTATGACCCTTCAATTTTCAATTTCAAGTCGACGCTTTTTTGTAGATCTCATTACCTTAAAACAATTTGGATCTCTAAACCTTTAACAGTTGCTGAACAGTACG